CGATGGAGTAAACTTTAAGAGGAGGAACTAAACAAGACAGTAATACTCCTACCAGTTGGTGTGAAGTTTTGTTGGGCCTACCTGGAAGGTAAGTTAGACAGTACCTGCTAGTGAAACTCTGGTTGCCGTCAGTTCCTGGAATGGATATACGGTCATTCATTTTGAAACTAGTGCTTCCTTAGGAAAAGATTGAATCAATATTTTGCCAAGTGATGTAAATTGTCATTTTGAAGTCAAATGGTACTTCCCTCGTCCAGTTAACACTGTGCAAATTTTTCACGGTACATAAATGTAACACCTCGGTGTTATGCCTGCATTTAGGCATTGCTAATCATACATATCGTGCATCATCAAGCATCCTATTCATACATGCGTAATCTTGCATATAACAACTGAAACATTACTTCGAAACATACGAAACATGTTTGTGAAAAGTAAATGATGCATACACTTATTAGAATTGTTTGGCCCTGAAATTTTCTTGCTAGGTTAGTAAAACATGTTTGGCTGCTATTGTAAATCAGCTAGCAATAATTAGTTCAATTTTTGGAGCAATGTTTGTATTCAAAGTAATTCAAAATTTTGCTTTCAAAATAATTCTCCAAAATGAGGGTTTTGAATTAAAATTGACTTTGATTTTATAATTCAAAATCTAGATAGAATTGGACTTTGGTCATAAAAGCAAAGTTGTAGGGAATTAAATTCTAAGCAACTTTCATTTTTGGTACATTTTCAAAAGAGGTCATTTTCTTGCTCAAAATAATATTTGAAAACTGTTATTTGAAAATTTATTGAAAATGGAAATTGAAAAGAATGTTTACTTTTGGCAGGCAGCCTCCTTTCCTTTCCAAACCCCATTAAGCCGGCCCAGTGAAGCCCCCAGCACGCCTCGCCTCAGCCCAACCCAGCATCGCCCGCCCACCTCAAGCCTTCGCCTTCTTCTCCCAGCAGCCGTGCCCGTCGCCACGCCCACGTCTGACCACGTCGGCGACGCCATGCCAGGTGTCCGCCACGCGCCCAGCTAGCTCGACCACGCAGCCACTGGCGGGCTTGAAGAGGAGCGCGCCTGCTTCGATCAGCCGCGCTCTGCCTTCACTCCTCCCAGACCGCCCTTTCCTTCCGCCAGAGCCGCGAGCCCCGAGCTCCGCCTCGCCAGCGCTCGAGCTCCGCCAAGTCAAACTCCCGCACCACCACGCCATTCTCCAATTACGCCGCCCATGGCTCGCCTTCGCCTTCCTTGAGGTCGCGCTCGAGCTTACTCCGCCTTCCGAGCACAGTCGGGCCTCCCGCGTCTCGCCGCCCGACGGCCATGGCGCGGCGCATGCTTTCGTACGCCATGGAACCTGTCTTCCTTCTCCCCTCCACCTCGCTTAGCTACCCTACCGAGCTCGCTTTTCTCCTCGCCGTCGCCTCCTGCGCTTTCGCTCATTGGCGCCATGTTGCGGATCGGAGACGGCCGGCTATCATTGGCCGAGTTTCATTGTCATTGCCAGCGCCAGCAAGGCTTCAAGCAAGGCGCTCTGCTTACGGCCAAAGTAAAGCAAAGTCGGGGGTTGACGCACAGGGCCAGCCTTCTTTCCTTCCTCAAGGCTAAGCGAAGAGGTCAGGTGGCTGGGCCGTGGGCCAGTTCATTTCCGTGGGCCGCCCAAGAGCATTTAAATGATTTGTTTTCAATTTATTCATTATTATTTGAAAATGCGAAATGGTTTGCAAAATATTTGGATACTCAAAGTTGCTCCAAATTTGTTGAAACAAATTTTTCTAGGTTCCTTATCACCAGATCTACTTGGGAAAAATAGTGCATGTCACTTTTGATATACTTTTCTGTAGGATTTTATTTAATCATAAATATTGCTGATAACTTGAAAAATGTGTAGAAAAATCTATAGTCTTCAGAAAAATATGATTCCAAGTTTGTTAATCTTATTATGTCATGTACTTCCTAGGAAAAATATGTTTCATATATGTGCCGTGGGAAAATTTTGAGGTGTAGTTCAAGTACCTTAGATGGCTGATTTTTGTTATTTTTGCTAGAGAGCAAAATTTGTATAAAACATGCATGTGGTAATTTTTGTATAGTGATTATTTACTGTTTAGAATCTAGGAAAAATACTAATTCTGTTGTTTGACACTTTTCATAGTACAAAGTAAATTCATGCTCATTTTTATGCTATAGCTTGTCATTTTTGTGTAGGATAGTTTACTTATCCAAATGCCATGAAATTTTTATGGTAGTCTGTTTAGGGTAGTAGTATGCTACTGTAATTTTCTCAGATTTTTAGGAGCATCAGAAATATAGGTTGCTATTCAAACCTATTATTAATTAGGGTTTAAGCAAGTGTTGCTTTAAGTGTGATTAAGAAATTAGTAAAGCTTTGGTGTATCTTTGAAGCATTTCATAAGATAGGTTAACTTAACATATTAGTAGTAGAAGAGAATGCAGTAGATGACATGTGCTTGTAGTATAGTTCTTAGATGATGTTGACTACCTTGCATTTCAACATATCCATCGCATTCATCTCCTTCGATGCACCGTTTGCATAATCCCTTACACGCATTGCATCATACAGGATCGCAAACCGAGAACCCAGTCGTCATTCCCGAGGAGTCCGAGGAGCAGTTCGAGGTGCAGCAGCAGGAAGTGCCGGAAGCCGAAGAGGAGGACGTTGAGGAACTTCCGGAGTGCCCCGATCACCGTCCGAGCTCCTTCGAGAGAGGCAAGCCCCGGAGCATTTTTCTCCCGGTTTGCAATGATTTAATTAAATGCTTTACTTTAATTGATGCATTACGTTCAGGAGTTGTTTGCAACCGTTGCTGCATTATACCTTGCTTACCTTTGTTATACTATATCCTTGTTACCCTGGTATCCGCAGTCGAGTCAATGCTTAGCTGGCTTAGACCGGTAGAAGTCGGGTGATTTCTGTCACCGCGAGCTATAGGTGGTTACCGGATCTGCTTGGATGACTATGAAGTCATGGTATAACTAAGTGTTAAATGAAGTTGAGACCGGACGGAGACTTGCGAGTTTTGGACCGTAGTGTTTCCGTGCAGGTCGATTAAGGACCGACCGTTGTTGGGCCTCGAGTCATGTTGAACGATGCCTTACATTTAGCCGGCCGGATAAAGTACCTTCCGACCGCTGGCCGGGAGATTTTTTCGGGCGAGTGGATTGCCCGCAGCAAGACCTTGTGTCAAGGCGGTGTGGTAGGACACGGGGCGGGATGATAAGGCCAAAGTGCGATCGGTCGGCCCCGGGTACATGTGGTTCCCGGCAAACTCGAGATTCTGGAAAGTTGACTCGGTGATCAATATCTCACTTTAGCGGGTGAGTGAGGTTTTGTGTAAAGGAACAAATCACCAAATGGTTAGGAATCGATTCGAATCGCCATCGCTCCGGATAGTGAGCACTTGACTTGAGTTACTTCATCGTAGTAAATGTTATGAAACACTTGGACAGTTATAATGAATCGACAAAGATGGAAGTTGCTTAATGATCATTGATTATCATTATCCGCTTAATCACATGTTTACTCTAGTATAGGTGCAAATCTAGTTGACAAAGTTAATAATAATTAACTTGGCAATAATGCTTTTAGAAAGGTTCTTGAAATACTAAAATGCTTCTTTTTGCAAATGAGTCACTACCCTACTATAAAGCCCTTCATAATCCTTGGTGTCATTTATTTTCGGTTATGTCGGGTAGAAATCCGGCCGAGTACATTCTCGTACTCAGGGTTTTATTCCCACTTGTTGCAGATGGGCAGATGTACTATGGCTACTGTATCAATTGCCTGTATCCTGCGATGGGTGATGCTTAGGACCATGGGCATGGTCATTCCTTACGTCTCGTCTAATGCTTTTGTTGGAGATGATCATCAGCTGGCACTATATTTGAACTCCGTGTGAGTGTGTGTGGTTTTAAACAAATGACTTCCGCTACTTTTATTCGAACTTGTTTTGTAATAACTATGTTTAAACTCTGATGTATCTGTTATGCAAACTTTTATGTAATATGTGATTGGTGACCGCTAAACTTATTACGATCATGGCTGGGACACGAGTTGGTTTGAAATCCTTCGTGATTTCACGGACTACCGGGTTATACGGGCTTAAGTTTGCTCAATCGTCTGCTCTGGTGGATGATTTTCTTACTTAATTTCGTATAATTGGTCAGTTCTGTTACAATAAATTCCCTCGACTCTGTTTCACAGGTGAACCACATATCGGTGATGTAGAAACTTGCTCGATGTAGTTCACAATTAAAACCACATATTTGACGTGTGCTCCATTTTAGTTTTGGGACCTCTATGTCATCTCGCTTGAGCCATTTGTTATTTCACCTACAAGGAAGTCAAGAGTGCCTCAAAATTTTGGTTGAACTTTATCACAGTGTGATTCTTCCTTTTGATGCACTGCCCTTGCAGTTGCAGGAGATGAGTTTCTTGCAATTGAACATAATGACAGGTTCTGAACATAATGGCAGGTGGCTGCAAATGAGGCTGCACCAATTGGGGGAGACTCTGCTGCTAGGACTTTCAACCAAATGTTATCCTCTGAAGAAATGCAAGATCAGATGGAGAAATTCAGTCTCACAGATGTGATGGAACAAAAGTTCCTGTCCGGTGAAGGCACTGAACATTTTTTGATCGATAATGATGAGATGTTGGATACCATTGGTCCAGAGAAGCTAACTATGACGCAGAGAAGTATTTCGAAAGGCCCAAAATGGTTAACTCGACAACAGGGAAGAGTAAACGAGGAATGACAAAATGCTGGAGAAAGACCAAGAGTGGCTAAAGATTAGTCACTCCCTCCCCGAGCAAGTAGTGAGCTACTCATTAATATTCTTAACACCTGACAAGAATTGGAGAAATGCCGCCTGTGACGATCCCCCGTCCTCCAACGCCGCGTGTGCCTCTTTCTTCAGCTCTGCTGCTCGCGTCCTAATCTCCCTCCCCTCCTCGGACTCCAACACAAGCCTCGCCTTCGTCTCTATCTCCTCAGCCTTGATGAAACCTGTGTTGTACCCCTCCAGCTCCAGCCCGATGCCCATGGCCTCGGTCATAAGTACCTTGTTGATCTTCTGCTCTGCGTCCAGTGGCCAGCACAGCATCGGCACCCGCTGCGATGGCCTCAAGCGTCGAGTTCCACCCGCAGTGGGTGACAAACGCGCCAATAGCTGGGTTGTTGAGCACATCCACCTGCGGTGCCCACGACTTGATGACGAGGCCGCGGTCCCTGGTCCGCTCCAAGAACCCCTCCGGCAGGATGGTGTCAAGGTCCGGCTCCGGGCGTGGCTCCCAGAGTCGTTTCGGGTCGCTGGCCGGCGTGCGCACCACCCACAGGAACCGTTGCCCGGACTTCTCTAGGCCAGCGGCGATCTCCTTAACCTGCTCCTCGGACAGCAAGCACCTGCTCCCCAGCAGAGGAACACGACGCTGCGCTCCGGCTGTGCGTCGAGCCAGGTGAGGCACTCGTGCCTCTCCGCTTCCTCTCTGTGCGTCCCGCCCTCGCCAACCAACGGCCCGATGGAGTAAACAGGAGGCAACACTTTGCCGGGGACGCACAGCGGGTCGCTGAACGCCTGCAGGGCCCGGCCCTCCAGTGAGTAGAAGGTGTTGATCAGGACGCCCCGGGTGTCCGTGTCGCGCTTCCAGATCTCCGTCATGGTCTTGCACAGCTCGTCCTCCGGGTCCTCGAGCATCTCCCTGAGGATATGGGACGCCGGCATCGGCGGGACGCCAAGGAACTCGAGGGGCGTGTCTCCAAGCTCCTTCAGGCCCGTTTGCCGACCGGCAAGCAGCGCCGCCGTCTGGGTTAGGACGGCCAGAGCTCCTGCGCTCGCCGCGAAGAACGTGTAGACGGGGACGCCCACCTTTGCGGCCACGTTGATGGCGTCGGTGCAGAACATGTCGATGACGAGGGAGTGCAGGCGCTCCCGGGGGATAGAGCGGAGGAAGCTCTCGAGCTTGTCGTTGTACTGGCCCAGCAGCTCCTGCACGAGGAGGAAAGGGTGCTTGGTGGCGCTGGCGAAGTCAGGGGGCGGGATCGGCGGGAGGAGGTGGAAGGTGATGGACGGGTTGGAGGCGGCGAGGCCCTCGATGAAGCTGGCGCCGGGCGCGATCGACTTGATGGGCGGCTCCAGGAGCACTATGGTGACGTCGTAGCCGTGGTGGAGGAAGACCTTGGCGAGCTGCGTCATCGGCCCGAGGTGCCCGGCGCCGCCGCCGGGGTACAGAACGACGGTCTGCTTCGCGGATACTACTCTGTCCATGTCAGCGGCCGGCGCGCTGGTCGGTCAATTATTGGAGGCAACGAAAATACACTAGTAGGCTGTGCTGTGGTGTGGCATCGGAGCTGCTGCGCAAATGGGTGCCTGCGGGGCCCAATTTTATAGCTGAGCAGCCTTGCCGGCCAAGCACCAACCTATATTCACCATCACTGCACTCCACGGAGATGGAGACATACACCCCTGAGACCGAGAGCTGCTTGCCTTTGGATGCCAACTGGTACTACGTGTAGGAACGGTGGAAGTTGCCTCTGCTGGACAAACTGGTAGTGCTGATCAAGGAACTGAGTGTCTGAGTCCTAATTGAACTCCTAAATAAACTATCGTGATCCAGGTCACAGTCAAAGTGAGCAGTGGCCCTGGGCATGGGAGATGGTCGATGCTTCCTAGATATATCCACCAGCTGAAGGCGATAGAACACTTGTCCGAAGTTTGAATGGTAGTTAGGTAGTGTTTAGTTCCACTTTATTTTGCAAAAAAATTTCAAGATTCCCTGTCACATCGAATCTTTGGACGCATGCATGAAGTATTAAATATAAATAAAAAATAAAACTAATTACACAGTTTAGATGAAATCCACGATACGAATCTTTTAAATCTAATTAGATTATGATTGGACACTAATTGTCAAATAACAACGAAAAATACTACAGTAGTATTTTGCAAAAAAATTCGGCATCTAAACACAGCCTTAGAGGAGGTTGGCTATGCTTGCACTATAAGCATCACAGAGTATAAATAAAAGAAGTAACAGATGGATAGTAGTCCATCGCTACCACTTTTTTGTGTTCGAACATTCATTTCAGGTACATTATATATATGAATTTAAAAAAATGTGGTGGAAGCAATAAGGCCTTGTTTAGATGCTAAAAAATTTGGCAAAATGCACTGTAGCAGTTTTCGTTGTTATTTGACAATTAGTGTCAAATCATAGTCTAATTAGGCTTAAAAGATTTGTCTCGTAGATTTCGTCTAAATTGTGTAATTAGTTTTATTTTTTAATTATATTTAATGCTTCATGCATGCGTCCAAAGATTCGATGTGACGGAGAATCTTGAAAAATTTGACAAAATTTTGGGGAACTAAACTGGCTTTAAGGCTCTGAGTTGGACATTTGGCAAAACAAATAGTCCACCTATTAGCTCTTATATCAAACAGGCTCTGAGTTCAAGCATCCGAGCATGCTGTATAGCTGCGGAGAAGACAAACCATCTTGAATTTTCTTCGATGCGATGATTTTCCATTGAAATCATGACTAGCAGTAGTAAAATCGGTGCTTGGATCCAGAGGTAGCAATGAAGTAACATCCCGTAGGATGATTTCGCATAAGGATAGGCAATCAGAGGGAAGTAAATGATTAAGCTAAAAATATTTTTTAACACTTCCCTCTACATAAAATCCAATTAGCTCACATTTTGAGTTCTGGATACAACACTACATCTCCACTAAAACTGATGTCTACAAAAAACGTAACTTGGACTGACCTCAAACTTTGTGACATTAAAATATATAAAACTTATGGACTATCACAACTGAAATCCCGCTGATCGGAGGTCTAGAGATTGAGATATAAAAATAACAAGCATACTATGCCAAATGGTGACGAGAGTCGATTAGTCATATTTGAATATTCTAAGCAACTTCATAAACCGTAAAAGAAATCAGGACTAGTAGTAGGGTCAAACCGATGAGTTGATGTTGTGCTACAACAAAACCATAAGTGTTCTAACATCGGAACCTTGACTGGCATCCCTCTCACCGCTTGTTCTCCATCATGGCCAAGAGCAGCCCCATCTTCAATAGCTAGGGGCTATCCCGGTGGAAGCTCCATGCATGTTTTCCAATGGGATGATGACATCCCAACTTCTCCATCATTGGCCTCGGCTTCGATAGCTTCGTTGGTGTCTAGGGATGGGCAGCTGCCTAGGTTCTGAGCGCCCCAACGATGCCTAGGGATGAGCTATCCGGCAACACCCTACCCAATTTGGCCATGACCTAGAGGCGTATGTTGATGAACTAGAAATCAAAACCAGAAAGGACAAGACACCCTCCGGAGTCTTTGAATAAAAGCTCATCCATCCCTGTACATCTCTGGTGCAGTCACGGATGAAGAGGATGCCCTGCTAGATAGTGTGGATCTTGGATGGAACCCATCCAAACATAGTGATAGCCACACGCAGTTGTAGCGCTCAATTTGGTAGCGCCCTAAATGAATCAAGTCCTAACCTAGTTGAAAGATAGAGCCATCCTCGACGATGATGCTGTGATAGAGCAGATATACCCATCAAGCCAAAAGGCACACTGGTTGATGGAAACTTATGTCGCCGTGGCATGAGCTATGCCCTGATGAAATGCATCTCTCAGGAAGAGGAGAGTGCCCAACTCTCCGATATCCATGGAGGCAAGTGTGGTAACCATGTTTGTTATCGCACCTAAAAAGACTCATGCTAAGGTTTCTATTGGCCTACTGCCCTCCAAGATCATGTGAGCTGATTTAACGGTGAAAGGTGTGCCCGTCTCATGCACATCAAATCCATGAGCTAGCTAGCTCAGGTATTGTAGGCCATCCTGTTCTCCTGATCACTTCGATAAGAGCTTCTCTAATGACACATTGTGGTGGAGAGAGGCTAGAAACCTTTACGCTAGAGTGAGAAGAAGAGAAAAACGTTTTTATGCTCTCTAATGCAATGAAGGGAACACATCTCCTATGTCTCTCTACACGTATAACAACTAGTAACTAGTGTGTCACATGGATGACATGAGAGAATATGTGAAATAAAAATATCTTACATGTATGACCTATATATAAGAGAATATGTCTTTACGAGCCTTGAAATATTCGATGAATTAAACATGTCGTGTCCTAATATGAGCCTCCCTTAGGGATGAAGATGAGCCATGCTATCGATATCCTTCAAGAAATCAACAAAAGCAGCATGAGATGAGCCGCCTTCTTTGAGTGCCTTGACTGCTCTATCTTTTACCTCCGCCAGTCTCTCTCTGAGTGCTCGCCCACCTTGAGACTCCATTACCCACTTAACCTTCGTCTCCACCTCCTCTGCCTTTCACCATTTCTTCATCATAGCCGTTCATTTCTACCCCGATCTTCATCTCTTCCACAATAAACACCTTGTTCATCCTCTGCTCCGCATACAGTGGCCAGCACAGCAGGGGCAACCCTGCCATGATGCTCTCCAGCGTTGAGTTCCACCCACAGTGTGTAACAAATACGCCGGTCGCTCTATGGCGTAGCACATCCACTTGTGGCGCCTAAGACTTGAGCACAAGCCCTCTGTCCTTGGTCCTCTCCAAGAACCCCTCTGGAAGGAGGGCCTTGAGGTCTGGCTAATGCATGCATGTTCCGTGAAACATCAGCCACTTGTGTGTGCGGGAGCACCAACGTCAGCCGTGACGCTGCAGGTGTCGGCGTCTCTGCTTGCGGCTTGCGGGTGTGGGCTGGCTGCAGACCTGAGTAAACGGGGAGGTCTCTATGACCTGCTAGGCAACCACTAAGAAGAGGCCAAAAGATGCTGACGCTATGGATGACGAAATACGAGGGATCGAGGAGCTTTCCACGCCTTGCCGACAAGCAGTCGTGCAGCTCGCTTGGTTTAGCCCTACTTTTTTTTTTAAGTTAAGGAATAATATTTTTCTCTTATAATAAATTAACTAATAGTATTTTTAATCATAACTTAACAGCCAAGTGAATAGGACACGTAGACGGAAGGAACATGGTATAATCCCCATGCGAGGCTGGCTGGCTAGCCACTACGTGTTGCACTGGTCGTCTGGCCCTCTATGTATGAGCAAGATGCGAGGAGCTTTCTAGAAGGGGCCGCTTTGTTGCTGTGTTTGGGAACGGGTTTAGCGGCTGACGGTGCAATCATTCAGTTAACGAATTTCCTCTCAAAGATTAAAAAAAAAGGAAGTTTTATTTTGGACAATTGCTAAATCAATGATTTTAGAATCTAGTTTTACATAATCTTTTGGAGTTGCTCTTAGATGTTTTTTTAGACAACAACAACAACAACAAATAATATATAGCATTAAGGCATGGACGCATGGTACAACAGTGTGAGAAAATCGTTCCCAGGATACAGAGCAAGATAATATAAAAGAAATTATTGAACAATATCCGAAGGTATAGGTGATGTTTTCGTCAGGGACGCAGGACCAAGAAGTGGCCTCGAGAAAAACATCAAAGGTTCTCGTTCTCGCACTCCTATAACACAACAGACGCTGATCTCAACTGTCTGATCGGAGGATAAAAATTCTTGAGCCAAAGATAAGATGTAGGCATCGCTGGACTCAAGAAAATTGTCCATAGTCATCAGTGTCAAAGTTTGAGGACCTAGGCCATCTTTAGTTCCCTCATTTTACATATTTTGGCACTATGAAAAAGAAGATTCCCCATCACATCAAATTTACGGTACATGCATGGAGTACTAAATATTGATGAAATTAAAAACTAATTGCACAGTTTGGTTGTACTTTGCGAGACGAACGTTTTGAGTATAATTAATCAACGATGAGACAATTATTACCAAATAAAAACAAAACGCTACAGTGCACAACAGTACCATTACAGTACCTAGGATTCCGGCGGGGCCGAATCCGAGGCCGAACTAAACGCGGCCCTACGTCAATGATTGTTGGCGATCAACCCGAGCATCAATAGCTGTTTTCCCACTTCCATGTTTGTAGACAGACAAAAAAAAAAAAAGCAGGTCGATGGAAATCAAATACTTTTATGCGCAACATGCCATTCAAGTTGAAAGGTACCGAGAGTGAGAACGTGTCTGTCCTGGATGGCACGTGTCACCATGAGGGAGAGAAGGATACCAGAGGCTCGTGCATGCTAACCACGTTGCGATGGCAGGCCCCACAGCGCAGGACATGGGCCCCACGATGGAGCACAAGAGCGTCGACGGGGATCTCGGGCGAAACAGCGAACCGTGCTCGGAGTTTCGCGCCCAGTGCCATCT